AAAAAAAAGAACAAACGAAATATAAATAGCACAGCACATTGTGACACATAGACATATATATACACTTGTATTTGTCAATCAAGTATGTATATGTATGCGGTCAGAATCTCAAAATTGAATCGGAAAAAAAGCAAATAAAAAAAAATCTTTTCACAATTGAGCTTTACATAATACAACAACAGAGTAAAAAAATAAAAAGATATAGAAAAGATAATTTTTATATAAAATATTCGTGGGAACAAGAAAAACCTTGATATACATTTTGTTTCAAACATGAAAAGTGAACGAAAAGACAATTATTTATTATATTAATTCGTTAAAAATAGTATACTGATTTTCTTGGAGAATAATATTTTGTTAATGATGAGTGGATCATCATTTGATGAAAGGTAAACCATCTTAATATATTTTTTGGCCTAATATATTCTTCCATTTTATGGCTTGTATAATCCAGTTAAGTATTTCTGCCGAAAATGCATCACATTTATATAAATTTCGTACATTTAAACTGAAATAGTTTTTTAAAGAAAAGAACTATGAATAAAAGGTCAAACTGATATCGATTAAATAGAATTTTTATCATATCCTAATGAGAAACTTACTCGAATCATATTGATATCTAAGACAAATCTTACTAAGATTGTTAGATCTGATAAGATTTTACTATAGATAAAGGTTACTTTGTATAAGATCTTTTTAATATTGGATAAGAGTCTATTCCTAAGAATTATCATGATTCACTAATAACTGCTGAATATCTTGTCCAAGTGCTGACAGAGTGAAGAGAAATTTCATTTTGAAGTATCAGCTTTTGGACGTTTACTTGCATTGTACACTCTTTGAATAGTTGTTAAACGAGAGAGCAAGTACGAGCGAAGCCTAGAAGAAAAATAACGTAAAATTCAGATATTTTTTTACTCATATGAATAAAAGCGAAATAAAAGGATGAATGAAAGAGATTCATCAAATCTTATTTTACTCGTAATCAAGATTTCAGTAAGATAATTTTAAGAAATATTTAATTTTTTTACTAGAGTAGGGAGTCTGACGTTGACATCTTCATTGAAAAGATCAGACGAGTCAATTTTCTTCACCGTATGCGATAGTGAAAAAATGCACTTTTTAACTCGCTTTCTCTCTCTCTCTTTCTCTGAAGATAAGAACAAAAAATTCTATTATTAGAGAAGATTTTTGCTTCAACATATTACATTTTGAAAATCTCCAGTCATTTTCTTTGTATCTACATCACTCAGATACTCGACCTCCATTAAAACACTCGTAATCTGTGAGTTTCAAAATCAGATGTTTTTCAATAAGAATTTTACTAGATTTTGTTCCATGTTAAAAGCTGACGCGCAAAGTGTGTTTTTTTGGAGATCGAGTATCTGAGTGATGGAGATACAAAGGAAATGACTAGAGACTTTTCAAATGTAGTATATGCGAGCGAAAATCTTCTCTAATAATAGAAATTTCTTGTTCTTTTCTTCTGAGAGAGAGAGAGAGAACGAGTTAAAAAGTGCATTTTTCCACTGTCGCATACAGTGCCAAAAAAAGTCACATCGAGTACGCAATATTTGAAGTTGATTTTTTTATTTTTTGTCACAGAGATCTTACATTCACAAAAAAACGAGTAAAATCATCTTACCATTGGGCTTTTGTTTAAAAGAGGAATTTCAGCATGCGTCCTTCACACATTCGCGTATAACCTGGTATATGCTCTTAGTCTAAAAGAAATCAAAAAACGTCTTTGCTGTGTCTTATAGTTAAACCGGACAGAATTCAAATCGAGAAAACCTCGGCATTAAGTTTTCATTATTATCTGCTGGTTTGATGTTATTATTTACAGTGATTGTATTCTAGTAAAACCCTAGATACTTTTTAAAATTATCTCTGTAAGATCTTGGTAAGATAGTCTAAGATCTTATTCAAGATGTTAATAAGATTTGATGACTCTACTTTCGTTTACCTAATTTGTTTTGTCTTCATACATAAGTAACAATGTAAACATAATCGAATTTTAACGATATCTTTCTTCTTGCAGACTTTCCTCGTACTTCCTTTTTCGAAACTGTTCAACAAATTTTCAGAGAATGTACAATACAAATTGCTACTGGAGCTAATTATGATGATAATGCGCCCTTATTGTTTTTTTGTTGCTTTCATTTATATTAATAAATACAAAATGATCAAATAAAACTTCGACCGGTAATTTTTTTAATCCTAACGATTGTTGCTGCTCATCAGTAAGAGTCAAAATCCATGGTCGGGCAACCGAAAATATAAAATTTCTCTCCTTGAAATCTGTTCAGTTTGTACTTTGAACAGTGTCGACCAAATATTCAAAAATGTTTAGTGAATCGTGAATGAATGTTATTAGAAAACATAATACTTCTCGCTGTTAAGATTCAAACAGAGTCTCGGCCAGTCATGAAAAAATCTTAGACAAAATAATCTATATTTTAGTAAGATTATAGAGAATCTTATCAAATCTTAAAATTTTCGGATCTCACGATCTTAATAATGATTATTCTAAGATCTTAGTAAGATCTCACTAGGGTATACTTTCAAACATAATAATCTTTTGATAACAAGTGTTTTTGTTTTTTGAGTAAATCTAATAACAACAAAACTGATTTTTACTTTTTCAAATAAACAAACAAATTCTGAAGTTGAAAAATAAGACATGTTAAACTTACGATTAATAGATCTCATAGTCTCTGTCTAATAATGACGATTCGTACCGGAGATGTGACATTAGTATACGTTATTCAGTGAGAATCTGTTTCCTTTCTATTCAAAAAGACAAACATAAATTTGATTTTAATCCTCTGCAGGTGTTTGTCTTTTTCAATTTTTCTCTCTATCTCACTCTCCGACTATAAAGTAAAACAATAGATACGTATTAAATTTCTTATTGTTCATATCTCAACAACATTTCTGAAAACTGAAAAAAACTGCCGCGTTATTTCATTGATTAAGTTTAATATACATATATACTATCTAGAGAATACATATACATATTTAGGCATATATGTTGCTCAATTAGAAGAATTGTGCCTATAAATATCAATAATAAAACTATATGGTTGATTAAATATTGCACTTTAGTTCCATTTTGAATTTCTTTTATTTCGCATGATTGACAAGATAAAAACCAGAGAAAAACAGACATTTACTATATTCGATTTGTAAATAACAGACACTTTTTTTTTTTTAAAATAGATAAATGAACCAATGATGTATATACACATATTTAGTGTTCAAATTTTTTATATATAAATTTTCAGGGACAATGTATAACACATTATATTAGACAATTATACGGTTCATTAATCTTAAAAACATACGAATTAAACACATATATATATATATGTATATATATGTGTGTGTTCATTAGATAATTGAGCTCTACTATCGCCGAGAAAAAGAGTACAACTAACTAGACATAATAATATTTATTATTACACAATACATATTCACTTAGTCTACGATGAAAAACAGAATCTGTAAAATATTTTGTGTTATTTTTGGCACAAAGACGACTGCCTTTTTTTATTCTCTAAAGTTTAACAGAAGAAAACAAAAAAAAAAAAAGAAAATAATTTTATCATCCTTTTCTTTAGAATACATATAGTAAGTTAACGATATTTTTTATGGCAAATTATTGTATTCATCAACGACAAATACACCTACCATAAGTCCAACAATATCATATGTTGTATGAACAAGAAAAAACATTTTATACCATCAGAAACACAAATAAATGTGTAATAATATTAATATTATGATCAATCAGATAAGAAGACGACGACGAACCATTTTGTATTATATGAAATTTATCTATGAAGATCTAGGTAAGAAGAGTGCATATGAAAACACTAAGTGTTTTTATTTTTGTTGTTTTTTTCTATAAATAAAGATTTGATCTAGAAAGAGAGAAGACGTTATTTTAAAAAATATGATTAAATATTGTCAAAAATATTTCTTTTACAATTCTGATTTGACCATAGTCTGATGTAGAGGAAAGTCTGGTCTATAAAATATGATACTTCCAGCGTTCCATGACTTTGTTTTTCTTTTTTCAAAAATTATGTGTTTTTTAACTTTTTGCTCAATAGGATAAAAAATCAAGGGAGAACCAAGCAGACTTTGGACTTTTTAGATTTTAATAGACTTCTGTGGGCTTTGAAAGTTCATAACTCGACTTAAGTCTGATTTTTTCTCCTTGTAGAAAACTCAATTTTTTTTCGTTTCATAAGTTTTTCTCCCCTCAATAGGATTTTCAAAGCTTTTTCTTATACATGATCTAATAGAGCAAAGTGTTCTCTTCCAATGAAACAGTTTCCTAAATTCTTCAATGGTTTTTCTCAGAGACATGAGCATTTCTGTGAATGTCTTGAAAAAGTGACGTGTCTCATGCTCATGTTGCTTGTAACGCTCAAAACAAGGATGATTCTAACTGAAGTACTGTACATTGATTTTTCTCTTTCTAAGTTATGAAAAAAACAGCAAAACAAGTCTTTGTAGAGAACTAAACCCTGTAACTCGAAAAGGAAAAGAAATACCAATACCTTCTATTAATTTCAGATAGATTTTGCTCGATTGGATAAAGTTTTCTATGGAGCATAGTGCTCTCCAGTTGAAACTATCGATGTTTTGAGTATTATGCGTAACATTAGACGCATCTCTTTCTCAAAACATTTACAGAGATGCTCATATCTCTGAGAAAAACCATTGTAAAACTGTGGAAAGATGTTTTATTGTGAAGAGAACACTTTTCTCTCAGAAAAAATTTTAAAGACACTAGAAAAGACGAGAGAAACATACACAACGAAAAGTAAGTTTGTTTTTAGTTAAAAAGTTCGTAACTTTTGCAAAACAAGAAAAAGAAAAGTTTTAGGTCGTAGGGGGTAATCATATTTCGTAGCTCAGACTTTGACTACTTCAAAATTAAATACAAAAAGAAAAGGAGAAGTTATCTTTAAGTATTGTTTTTTAGGATGAACAATGTCACTATCTATATTTCTAAATTATACACCTTCTTGATAATAATATTATTTTATTTTCGTATTTCTGTTCATGGTAAATTATCCTTATTCTATCCGTGTTATTATTCATCGATTCAATATCACAATTCATTGTCACTATTTCAATGTGATTTTTGTTCATGTATAATTCAGTCACCATCACTACTACCACCACAACAATCATCAACAAATCTCTGTATATTATTAAATAATATTAATAGTAAGAAACGAGAATTATGTATGAATAAAAATGATAATAGTTATTTTTTTGAAAATTTATTATCAAAATTAAATTCAATTGAATATGAAACAAGACAACAATTGTTATTATATTCATCCTATTTAGAACAACAATATCAATGGCAAGATAACGAATTTGAATTAGCATTAGCATTAAATAATGTAGAATTGAATAGAAACACATTTCATCAATTACTTACACTTTTTTGTTCATATAATTTTACAAAAATAACATTTTATTATTTACAGTATGATACGATACTAAATAATAAAGAAAAACCACAACATTTTTGTCATTTATCACAAACCTATTCTATACGCTATATAAATTCATTTTTTAATGATTATTCCGTAGTATTAAATCATCATCATCAACAAACAGTGATATTTTATAATTCAACATTAAACATAACATCATTGAATACTACAGCTCATATTTTATCTTTTTATTATGTGAATTTTAAACGTAAAACATTTTCACTCTCCTCATTATCATCATTAATTCATTTGACAATATCTCATTCTTCCTTATCATCATCATTCATCACATTAAATGGTTTATTTGAACGTCTATTATATCTTGATTTATGCAGTAATGAATTAACAGATGATAAATTAAATCATCTAATACAAACAATGGAAGCACCAGATTTAATTACTCTAATATTATCTAAAAATAAATTGACTATATTAACAAATTTATTTAAACATTTATCAACAATAAGATATTTAGATTTATCATTAAATCAAATAAAAATGATTGATTATTTTACATTTAAAGATATTTATTCTTTAAATTCTCTTAATCTAAGTTATAATTTAAATATTGATATTAAATTTGATACATTCAATCGAATACCCTATCTTGAAATATTAGATATTAGTTATTGTCAATTAAAACAATTATCATCTGAACATTTATTTACACCATTACAAAAATTACGCTATTTAAATTTAACAAATAATCATTTAACAAATATCGTTCGATTACCTATTCCATATGATTCTTATTCTATATTAGTAAACAACAATTATGATTATAATCTACCTATACTCTATGCTGATTTATCACATAATAATATTGAATTAATTGATTATGAACGATTAATATCCACACAAGAACGATATGTTATTAATTTAAATTTAGAATTTAATAATATAAAAACATTACAATTTCAAGAGAGAAAACGTGGTCCAGTAATTGAATTAAATATTAATAATAATCGAATCAATTGTGATTGTACACTCTATGAAAATTTAAATATTATACAGGGAATAAATGAGCCAATACATCACACATTTTTTAACGGTAATATCAAGTTTTAGATGATTAGAGAATGTGAAAAGTGATAATGAGAACTGATTGATCAGTCTCAT